ATATCCTGTGACCTACCAGTCAAGGTCTACTCATAGGTTTAGGGGTATGTCTAATTATAAATGTTAAGCTGAAATACAAAAAATGTTAAGCTGAAATATAAAAATATGTATTTTTAAACAAATAAAGTAAAAATAATTTTTTTTGGTCAGGCATGGTGCACACATGTGATCCCAGCACTTTGGGAGGCTAAGGCAGGGAGATCACAAGTTTGTGCCCAGTCTGGAAAATTTAGCAAGATCTTGTCTCAAAATAAAATAATATAAGCCGGGCGTGTTGGTGCACTCCTATAATTCCAGCACTCAGGAGGCTGAGGCAGGAGGATCATTTCAAGTTCAAGAACAGCCTGGGCTACAAACTGAGCTTAAGGCCAGCCTGAACTGCATAGCAAAACACTGTCTCAAAAAGACAAAAAAAAAAAAGGAGCTGTGGGTGTAGCTCAATAAAAAAGCCCTGAGTTCAGTTCCCAGGGCCAATTTAAAAGTGCTTTAAAATTTTTTATTTTAAAAACTAAATCAGGAGGCCAGTGGTATAAATCAGTAATAACACACTTGGCCTAGCATGTGCAAGGCCCTGGGTTTGATACCTAATGCCATCAAAAATATAAAAAGAAAGAAACTGAATTAAAGGCTAACATAAAAATAGCTTAAAAATATTAATGTGACTGTGTTGTCAAACTGACTAGTAGGGAACAACAGACTACCTGAGAACTGAATAAATTAAGCACATAGAAATATTTGCAAATAGTAACTGCCTCTTCTGCTTCCCAGATCAACAATATAGTTTTAAATCATCCTCATTTGCTGCCAAAAACATTACTGCTATAATAATTTTTTATTCCTTCCTATTACTACCTAATAGGGTCATATTGCAGCCAGAGTCCAAAGCTGTCAAAATTAAAATTCACTTCAAAAGTAATAACAGGTCCACATTGCACTAAATGTTACGTTTTAAAAGGCAAAGTATTAAGTCTCTAAAATGGGTTCTGATCTTTCTTTCCTTCATGTTTTAACCATTAATAACAATCTTTTCCCTAGCAGAGTTCTTTGAACAACGAAAATTATTTTTGAACTTATTGTGACATTCTCACAAAAAAGGATTAAGGCAGGGGTTGATGGTAATTTGACGATGGTGCTATAAATGGCTAACATGTGGCATGTTCCTTCTATAATGACTTTTCTAGAGTGAACTGATGTTACTAAAAAATCCACGTCACCATTTTGCTACTAGTCATCACCAGAAGTACCTCATCTGGTGGTAAAATGTTTACTTGTATTATAATCTAATTTTTAATTACCTTTATATATATTTGCTTAGGATAAATATATGTAAAAATTCAGAATAATATCGATCATACCCTGCTCTAGTCAGCACATGCCCATTTCTAACTTGGAACGTTCATGAAGAAGAACCAAATAGCTAAGTCTGGTGGTACAAACCTTTGATCTCAGCACTCTGGGAGGCTGACACAGGAGGATCAAAAGTTCAAGATTAGCTTAGACAATTTAGTAAAATCCTGTCTCAAAAAACAAACAAACAACAAAAGCTGCATTTTTAAAAAATAAAAAAGGAGCCAAGCATGGTGGCACATGTCTGTAATCCCAGCACTCAGGAGGCTAAAGCAGGAGGATCACCTCAAGTTGAATGCCAGCCTGGGCTACATGGTGAGTTCAAGGACAGCCTGAATTACAAAGCAAGACCTTGTCTCAAAAAGCCAAAAAATTTTTTTAAATAAATGAATAAATAAGGATATAGGCAACTAAATATAAAAACTCTTCAGAAAGGTTTTTTCTATACTTAGATAGTACTGAATACTTTTATTATTAGTTGAGCTGATGGAATTGAGCCACAGTGACATTTGTGACGGAAAGGGAAGATGGAAATGATTCCATTAACCTAGAGTGCTGTGACATATGGTAATCATAGGTGGTAGAATAGCTGTGTTGGACAAGGGTAGAAATAAGCCATGTGGCACAGACATTATCAATTACCACACATGGTAACCATGCTGACACAAGACATCTTTTCCAGAAAGAAAATGATCTGGGCATATGCAGTGGTTTGCTGCATTATGAAAGAGTGATCTATAAATGACATATCTGGCACCAATACAGCACACGATTTTCAGTAATTCTGAAAACAGGATGAAGACTTGATGAACTTCTATCTACTTAAAATAATACATGTAATTATTTGCACAAAGGCAGAAAATCAAAATATGTACATAAAGTAAACATGGTCCCTTCATGCATAAAACTATCTTTTAAATATCCTTTAAATTGTCTTATAAAATTCTTAATAATTTAATGACTCTTTTTTTGAGACACACTCTTGCTATGTAGCTCAGGCTGAACTCAAACTCACTATGTAGCCCAAGCCGGCCTTGAATTTGAAATCCTCTTGCCTCAGCCTCCCCAGTTCTGGGATTAAAAGACATGTGGCACCATACTCAGCTAATTTCATGATGCAGGTATAAAGCCTACAGGCCAATGTTCAAGATTAGATCTAGAGAGATAAAATTGTAATTACTTTTTCCAAATGTTGGAAAAAATACCTAAGTGTAAAGAAACATAATAACAACTATGTTTTAAGAAAATTTAACATGCAAATATTCTTTCAGATGAGTGCAAGATGGGTTGAAGAAGAGAGATTAAAGGCTGGAATCAGTTGGGCAACAGGAGCCAAAGACAGTACAAAGAAGAATGGAATAAAGGTATACGGAAGAAGCCAAAAAGACACAAGATAAGGTCTGAGGTGTGAAGGCACCTGAAGATATAGCTTGGTAAGATCTGGCAACCCACTCAGAGAGGCTCTCAAGTGGCTGTGCCAGTTAGTTAGCCACTACTGCAAAACAAATGACCCCCAAATTCAGTGGCTAAAACAAGAAACATTTCACTACTTTTCATAGCTCTATAGATTGACTGGGCTCAAAGAGGTGGTTCTCACTTGCAGGCATCAAAGGGTTGCCCTAGATACCAGTCAGGGATAGGATATCTAAGGATTCAACTGGGATGGGTATCCAATGTTTTGTTCATTTATATTGCCAAAAAGAGTTGAAAAAGACTATTGTGTGAATATTGACCATGATACTAATTTCAATGTACTGCTAAACTATCAGTTGATTGCTAAACTAGCAGTTGACAGCTAGAACTGTCAACTAAAATGCTTGCACTTAACAACTTCTACATGATGGCCTTAGGATGGGCAGACTTCTTACATGGGGGTTTAGGGCTTCAAAAGTGAGTGTTCCAGCAGAGCGTGGTGGCACACATCTGTAATCCCAGCACTCAGGAGGGTGAGGCAGGAGGATGGCTATGAGTTCAATACCAGCCTGAACTACATAGCAAGAGCCTGTCTCAAAAAACCAAAACAAAAAAAGCGAGTGTCCAGTGATAGTTTTTTATGACTTCATTTCCTAAGTTATTATTACTTCTATGGCCCTTTATGGTCAAAGCAATATATAGGCCCCTTTAGACTCGAGAGAAAAGATATAACACAACCCACCTGAGGGGGGAAGTGCCAAAGAATTTGTTTTAAACTATCGTAACAACATTTAGCTTCATGGATTTATGACAAAGTTCAGCAACTTGAACTTGAAGCCTCAGAAATGTGTGTTCCAAATTTAATTACATGGGGTGGATATTAACTAGTGCTAACAAGTCTATAAGAATCCAATATATAAAAACCACAAGGGCAAGCAACACAAGAATTTATAGTGAGAACTATGAATTCCAGTGAGAGCAGACATTTGCATTGATCTGGCTTTAACTGGGAGATCTAATTACCAACAGGTTGGTAATTAATACACAAGCAATCAGATAAAAGTTCATTACAATTCAAATGTTTAATGATATCCAGTTGAGATAGTCTAATACAACTAAAAATATGTTTTAAAAAATATCACACTATGAGATGTCATTCTTTTTTGGGGGGGGGATACCAGGAATCAAACTCAGGACTTCCTGATTACCAGGCAGGCACTGTACCACTGAGCTGTATTTGGCCTCTGAGATGTCATTCTTAAGGAAAGTATCAAACTGGAAAAAAAAAAAAAAAAGTAACATGTGGTCAGGAGCGTTGAAAAACAGCCACTCTCAAAACACCACATAAGGTGTAAGCTACTAATCTTCCTCGGGGACCACTTAGCAAAAACTATCAAACTGTTAAACACATATATTCACATCAATTCTTTATATCTTCATTAAAGGCTAAATATCTATCAGTAAGTGATTAAGCAACAGAACATTCAGTGGAATGCTACACAGCAATTTTTTAATCAAAAAGTTCTACATGTATTGACACAAAAATAAGGTGCTTCACAGTGTGTGTATTATTTAAGAAGGTGTTGGATGAAAAATAATTTATATTTTAGATACACAGAACAGCTCTACAAGATCCTACAGGAAACTGGTAATGACTGTTGCCTCCTTAAAAGGAAGTGAATGACTAAGGGACAGGAGGTAAACAATTTTCACTGGCTTTTAAAATCTAGTGCTTTTTAAATTTAAATCCTGTACAAGGGGCTGGGGATTTAGCTCAGCGGCAAAAGCGCCTGCCTGGCAAGTGCAAGGTCGTGAGTTCAGTTCCCGGTACCGGAGAAAAAAAACAAAAAAACAAACAAACAAAAAAAAAAACAAATCCTGTACAAATACGGTGTAATTAAAAAAAATTAAGTCAGGCATAGTCACATATAACTAGTACTCTGGGAGGCAGAGGCAGGAGGATTCCAAGTTTGAATTCTGCCTGGGAAATTTAGTGACTTAATTGAGACCCTGCCTCACAAAATTGGGGCTGGAGCTATATCTCAGTGTAAAGGCCCTGAATTCAGTCCCAAGTACTGCAAAAATAAATAAGTAAATAAATAAATGTATGTATGTATGTTAGCAAACTAATTTTTAAAAAGCAAAAAAAAAAAAAAAAAAAAAAAAAAACCACCTAGAGAGGTGGTACCAGGGCTTAGACCCAGGGTCCTTGCATGGAGCTACATCTCCAGCCCTTTTTCATTTTTTATGAGTCCAGGTCTCAGCTGCTAAGTTGCCACAGCTGGACTGGAACTTGTTATCCTCCTGCCTCAGCCTCCCCAAGAGCAAGGATGACAGGTGTACACAACCATACTTGGCTAACTTTTTTTTAAAAAAAGAACACAGCAGTAATTGTTATATAATAATTATGCTTCCCCCTCCCCTTTGGACCTTGATTTATATAAATTCTTTTTTTTAAAGGTTTTTGTTGTTGTTTATTTATTTATTTTTTGCACTGTAAGGGAAATGAACCCAGGACCTCATGTGTGCTAGGCGTGTGCTCTGCCACAGAGCTACAGCCCTAGCCCAATTTATATAAATTCTTAATGGAAGTTTTCTTACATTTGGCTTTTGTCTTTTACCTTGTAGTTTTGTATTTTGAAAGTAGGTAGGACATAATTTCCACGAGTTCTCAAGCCTTTCTGAGTAAGCCCAACTTTGATGTCCTCATAAAATAAGCTACACATAAAATCACAACCAGAGTATTAGTGTCTTTAATTTAAAAACTCACATCTTACTACACATAATGAAAGTTAGCTGAAACTTAGAAACTTAGAAAGGGCTATGTTAATGGCAAACTAAAATGGAAAACAGGCAAAGGAATATACTTCGGTCAAAAATACATGAAATCATGTCAACATGTTTTATGCCAAAATCAGTTCTGAGGGAGCAAAATGTTCTGTAAATTTTAACAGTAACAGTAAATTTAGGCACCGATGTTAACTAAAAATACATATTATGAACAGCCAGCCTCTCTTCTGCAACTCAATGGTTTTTTTTTAAAGCAACAGAACATTTCAAAATTGTGTCTTAAAACTGAAATGCAATGTATCAGAATGGGAACCCTACCATTATTGATCTTGAAAATAAAAATGTATAAATGTCATTCTTTTCACTATTTCTAGTACTGATCATTTTAAATAAATATTTAATAATGACTACAAAGGCAGACACTCAAAACCTAGACCAACAAACTGGTTTTTTTAAAATTTATTTTATAGTGCTGGGCATGGAGCCCAGGGCTTTGCACACTTGAGGCAAGCATGGAGCAATGGATTTAAGCAATCATTTAGTCTGATCTTGTTTTAAAAATAAGGTCATGACACAAGAAAATAAAGGTGCCAAAACTGATGTGGCTCGTTAATGTCTCAACTGGAATTAGAATGCCGGCCTTCTAATCCTGAGATTTTTCTACCACATTAGACTCTAATTTTAGGGCAACCCATTTGGGACCCTGCCTGTCCCTCAGGAGCTATTCCTTGTCCCCACTCTTATTACCCAATAAACTTTCCTACTCTAAAACAAAACAAAACCTCTAATTTTATCACAAATTGTAAACATTTTAGTAAGAATATTACTAACAAGAGAAATAGCTTTAGAGCTGGGCATGGTGGCAGAAGTCTGTAATCCCAGCTTCTCAGAAGGCTGAGGCAAAAGGGCTGCAAGTGTGAGGCTAGCCTGAGCAACTGAGGGAGACCCAGTCTTAAAGTAAAATATATTCCTTTTTTTTTTTTTTTTTTGGTACCAGGAATCAAACTCAGGACCTTGTGCTTGCCAGGCAGGCACTGTGCCGCTGAGCTATATCCCCGGCCCTCAGAGTAAAATCTAAAGGGCTTGGGATGTAGCTTAGCTCTGTAGCACTTATCTATAAGTTCCTGGGTTCAATTCCCAGTGCTGAGAAAAGGAGGGGTGGAGCTGGGTGTGGTCAATCACATCTGTAATCCTACCAGAGACTGAGGCAGGAGGATCATGAGTTTGAGGCCAGCCTGGGCTACACAGTTAAGACTGTCTCAAAAAACAAACAAAAACAAGTAACACTTTAGAAATAACCCAAATGTCTATCCACAGATGAATGGATAAAAGAAATGTAGTATAAACATAAAATGGAATATTATTTAACCTTTAAAAGGTATGAATTTTTTATATATGATACAATCTAGAAGAACTTTAGAATTACACCAAGTGAATGCTGACTTAGGCAGCACATATACTAGAAATATGCCAAGTGAAATGATCTAGGCACAAAAGAAAAGATATTGTATGCTTCCACTTATATGAATTACAATAGGCAAATTCATAAAAATGGGAAGTAGATGAGAAATTATTAGGGGCTGTGGGCAAAAGAGTATGGGGAGTTACTACTTAATGTGTATAGTTTCTATGTGGGATGATGAAAAGTTTTAGAAATAGTGGTAATAGATTAGGGCCTGGTGGCACACGCCTATAATCCCAGCACTTGGGGAGGCTGAGGCAGTCTGAGCAACCTGGCAACCTAGTGAGACCCTAACTCAAAAAAAAAGTGGTAATGGTTGCATAACGTTGTGAATATAATGAACATTAACTCTGTACACTTACAAATGGTTTAAATGGCAAAATTTTTGGTACCAGGAATTGAACACAGGACCTTGCGTTTGCCAGGCAGGTGCTGTGCCACTGAGCTATCTCCCCGGCCAGGCAAATTTTTCTTATAACTATTCTACCACAGTAAAAATGTAAAAATATTTTTTTAGTATATGTGCTGCCGAAGTTAGCACAAAAATGTAAAAATAAAAACCAAGAATGTTATAGAGTTCAAAAAGTGCTCTGAAATACCATCCCATGCATGACCAAGTGGAAACAGTATATTTATCTGACCACTTGAAAAGAAAATTTACCCTAAATATCTTATTTGAAATATTGATTCATTCAACAAGCAATAGTTAAATGTGTGTTAGGCATTAGATAGATGAGTAGAAGAAAGGAAGGAAGAAAAGCAGACAGGCTAGCCTATCCCATCTACCTTACAGAGTTGCTAGAAGGACCAAATAAAATTATGTAAAAGTTTCTCATAAATAATAAACCACTCTACTGTGGTGGAGCACACTTGTAATTGCAGCACTTGGGAGGCTGAGGCAGGAGGATTACTGCAAGTTCAAGGCCAGCCTGGACTACACAGTGAGTTCAAGGCTAGTCTGAACTACTTAGCGAGACCTTGTCTCAAAAAAACAAAAAACAAAAACAAACAAACAAAAAAAGCACTATAGACAAAAGTATGTTTAAGTTATGTACCTCCAAAATTAAAGCCTTAAGTCATAACACTCTGAAAGCACTTCAACAACAGATATTTGGTATATGTGCAGTTGAAGCAAGCACATCAAGAGATATTTGTAAAACCAAAAAAAGAATTAGCAAAAAGAAAAAATATATACTTATATGAACATTTGGAAAAGTATAAATTTATGATCAGTTAAAGATATTGGTAGCATGATCTCTAACATTTCCTCTAGCAATATAGATCTATAATAACTGCATTTGAGATGTGAAGTTCCTATCCTAAAAATGAAACAAAACCATGAATTAGGTTATATAGCTTTTAATTCTATACTTCATTGTACTTACACTTTCCATAATTTCCATAGACTCTAGGAAAGGGTTTCTCAAACCAGAGCAAACTTTAAATTTCTAATATTTGTTTTCCCACTATGAATAATTTTTTACATAGGTTATATTAATGGCCTGTGTTGTACTAACTTGGCCAAGGCATGGTAAAACATGGAAGTGACAAAAAAAATCACTGGAAACGTTTTCTGTGTAATTGCAAATATATTTGTGTCAGTCAATTTTCTATCACTAGAACAAATACCTGAGATAATCAACCTGTAATGGGAAAAAGGATTCTTTTGGCTCACAATTTTGGAGGTTCTAGTTCATGATGAGGGGCCCACAGCTTCTGGGCCTCTGTTTGGGGGTACCGGATGGCAATGGCAGGAACATGTGCCAGAAAAGTACTAGGGGCCCATGATCCCCTTTGGAATCCGCCCTCACTGACCTAAACATTTTTCCACTAGGCTTCACCTCTTACAAAATTTCCACCACTTCCCAATAATGCCTCCCTGAGGAGCAAGACTTTACCCACATGGACTTCTGGGGACACTTAACTCCCAAACTATAGCAATACTTAGGGATGTATATAAAGCATCAGAAAGAATGATCATAGGGCCAGGGATATAGGCTCAGCGGCACAAGTGCCTGCCTGCCAAGTGCAAGGTCCTGAGTTTGATCCCTGGTACCGGAAAAAAAAAAAAAAAAAAAGAAAGAAAGAATGATCACAGCAATGGCATGGAATAAAAGCAATATATATCTTTTGAATTTACCATACTGTCTACAAGATGAAACCCAGATGCGATCAGTGACCTGCTAGGAAGTAAGGCTTTTAAATCAATTTACTAGTCTAGCATGAGATGGCAACCTTATATAAACTGGGAGTAATAGGTGTAATATCACATCATGAGTTAAAATGAACAGAGAATGCTAGGGGGAAAAGTTTACATCTGTATCCATTTCACAGCTAAATAAGAATAATCTTTGAAGCTGAGCATGAGGGCTCATCCCTGCGATCCCATCACTCTGGGAGCCTAAGTGAGGAGCATCCCAAATTCAAGCCCACTTTGGGCAACTTGACAGCTTGGGTGATCCTAACACTGAAAAAAAAAAAAGGATCCCCAGTACATATGTGGAATCTGAAAAAGATGATAAGAAAGCAGAAGGAAGACTCTTACGAGACCAGACAAAGGGAATTTGGGGAGAGGGGAGGGGAAGAATGTGTAAACAGCAGTAACAGCAAGATGAATATAATCAAAATATAGTCAATAGACCCTCCAAGGGGAAAAAAACTAAAACTAGAATGGTGGCCAGGCACAGGGGATGATAGCGGGGTGTGTGTGAAAATGATCAAAGTATATTCTGTGCATGCACCAATCTGCCAAAATGGAACTCATTAATATGCACTAATAAAAAATGTGAAACGAACAAAAAAGATTCAAAGGAAAATGTTAAGACATCTACAATTCTAAAATGAAACCTTACATCATACTTCAGTTTGGTCATCTAAAATTTGAGTCCCACCCATAAAACCAAATACAGTGATATGTTGACTCATGGTCTGTCTTAATAAAAACAAGTTGTTTTAAAGAATTACCAAAGCTACATTTAAAGAGAATTAAAAAAGCCAGGTGTGGTGGTACATGCCTGTAATCTCACCACTCAGGAGGCTGAGGCAAGAAGATCAATGTGAGTTTGAAGCCAGCCTGTGCTACATAAGCGAGTTCAAGGCTAGCTTGCACTGTATAGCGAGACCTTACCTCAAAAAAAAAAAAAAAAGAAAAAAATGTATTCCTAGGATTATCTAGGCTAACAGACAAAGAACTTTTCCAGTCTGACTAGTAAATTCAGACTGACCACATGAGATTACCTCTCCACATTTGGAATATGTAATGTCTATCACCTCTCTTAAATGTCACTGAAAATGAAAACACAGCAAAATACTAATTTTACAAAACTGCTTTAGAAAACCTTTTTTAGAAGATCACATTCCTTATTTTTCCCATTAACTTCATATAATCCTGATTTGTTCATGCCGCAGTGCTTTTATATTTTAAAGTAATGATTATACACCACTTGTACACAGTGAATTTCACAACACCAATATACTTCCATACTGTGAGATTACTTTCGGGGTTACTGTTCTTCATCTGGATCTCGTGATCGTTTCCGAGAATTCAATGAACCTTCCGTTTGCAATGAACACGAAGTAGCAACAGCATCTCTAAATCCCTGAGGCTGCAAGATGAAGATACAAATATGCTTTAAGAACATTTAAAATAAAGATTTGTCTTCCTTTTTTCTCTCTTTCTTTTTTTATTATTTATTTTGAGACAGGGTCTTGCTAAGTCACTAAATTGCCCTGTTGGGCTGGAACTTTTGATCTTCCTGCTTCAGCCTCCCAGAGAGTTGAGATTTCAGGCATGTGCCACCATACCTGGCTCTTCCAAATATTTTTCAGTAGCTGACAGGAAAGCTACTTTGTGCATAAGACAGTTTATCAGACAAAATGAAGCACCTAAGCCATCTGTATAGTCTAAGTTACACTTGTAGAGGAGTATTTTATATGCACTTTTATTTCTTTTTAAATACCAGGGACTGAACCTAGGACCTCTGCATTCAGCTACATCCCTAGTTCTATTTTAATCTTTAACTTTGAGAGGGTCTTGCTAAATTGCCCAGGGTTGGCTCAAACTTTCAGTCCTTCTGCCTCAGCCTCCCAAAGTGCTGGGATTACAGGCATGTACCACCATACCTGGCTCTTACAGTAAGTATATCTTTATTTATATTAATACATATACACAGAAAAGTAACACTACACTATAAAATGTCCTCTAGGACTGGAAGTGTAGCTCAGGAGTGAGGCTCAGCAACATTCCCCTCCCAAATAAAAGAACAAAAACAAAAGTTTGCTTAAAAATAATCCTAACAGCTGGGCATGGTGGTGCACACCTGTAATCCCAGCACTCAGGAGGCTGAGGCAGGAGGATCGTCATGAGTTTGAAACCAGTCTGGGCTACAAAGTGAGCTCAAGGCCAGCCTGAACTGCATAGCGAAACCCTATCTCAAAAAAAGAAAAAAAATAATAATCCTAACAAACTTTATGATAGCTCTGCTGGAAAAGGGGAAAGGAAGTAATTTGTACTAATTCTCAAGTACATTATAAATTTTTTACAATTAAATACCCTTATAAAATTTTATCAGTAAACTACTTCAAATGCACCTAGTCAGTGCAGAATCTTAAGTGGCTAATTCAGTTGCAGAATCTCTTTTCATTTTTGCTTTTTGTCTTTATAAAAGTGAGATGCCTAGATATACATGGTACAACACTGTTGGTAAATATGCATATTTCTGTCAAAAGGGGAGTATCCTATGATGTAAATTCATAGGAAAATTAACATTTTAAAGTCTGCTATATTTGGTAGCTACGATAGATCTATAATATATAACAGCCACCGACCAATTAATGCTGGTGTATTTTCCTGTCTGACAATCTCCAACAACTTTCACTTTAAAAATCTTTAGCTACCAGGCACAGTGGCACAGAACTACAGTCGCAGCATCTTAGGAAGGCTAAGGTGTGAGGCTTGTTAGTTCAAAGCCAACCTGGGCCAGGTATGGTGGCGCACACCTGTCATCCCCGCAAGCAGAAGGATCAATACCAGCCTGGGTTAACATAGTGAGTGCAAGGCCAGTCTAAACTATGTGGCAAGACCTTGTCTCGGGTGGAAAAAAACAAACAAAGCCAACCTGGGCAAATTATTGACAGCTTGTCTCAAAACTTTAAAAAAAAAAAAAGGACTAGGTAGCCAACACCCTGGATTTCATTACTAGTGCCACCAAAAAGAAAAAAAAAAAAGGTCCTTACAGGCTGAAATTTTACCTATACTGTGGAACATACTACCCCCAAATATTTCCTTTTGAGGAGGTGGAAGGGAGACAGAAGCTAGCTATAGTTCAGTTCCGGCTGTCCTTGAACTCACTATATAGCCCAGGCTGGCCTTGAATTTTCAGGCTCCTCCTGCCTCAACCTCTGAGTGCTGGGATTACAGGCATGCAAAAACATCCCCAGCTTTTCCCTCTACTTAAGCATACATTTCAGCACCCTGAGACCATAATGTTAAATGAAATAAATCAGCTTAAATATCACATGGTTTCTCTATATGAGAAAACTAGAGTAAAAATAAAGAGCAAAATAAAAGACAACAGGAAGTCGGGAGTGAAAAATTGTTCTCAAAGGCGAAGGGGATCAAGAGGAGGTGAAAGAGATAGGGGTTAAAAAAAAAAAAGAACTAGGACGTGTTTTGTGCAAGTGCCAACTCTGCACAAGGTTTGTAAACATCGTGTCCTACAAATGTACAAAAAAAAAGGGAAGGGATGAGAGAAGGGTAAAGGGGAAGGGAGAAGAGGGACAGGGAAGAAAAAAGGAATTAAGATGTTCCCTGTACATGTTCCAACTCCACACAAGGAACACGAGTATTATGTACTGCACACATGTATTAATAAACTAAGAAAATGTTTTTGGTCAAAAAAAAATTTCAAAAAGTGTACCCTGATTTAGTATGATTATCTTATGTGTTTTGATGTATTTTGGGCCTGTTAGTCAAACTGTTCATCTGTGTTTGATAATGAACTTGGTAACCAACCTGTAAAATAATCTGATACTGGCAAAAAAATTTTGGGGGGGGTAGAGAAGAAGGGGAAATAAAAAAGAATTGAGATGTGTTACATACAGTACATGTACTCACTCCCACAATGAATGTAATCATTATGTACTACAAACATAAATTAAGAAAAAGAGAATAAATTTCAGTCCAATTGTGACTACAGTATTCTGTGTATACTACCACTTTGGGGATATTCTAAGCATGAAAAGTTGTCCACAAATATGCATTTGGCCTACAGAAATTAACAGAAACAATTTGTAAATAATTTCCTCAAATCATTACTGCCCAGCAATACCAAAACTTCACTCTAAACAAACAATACTCACTGTGATTTCAAACATTACTGTGCACTCTCTCTGGCTTGGTGATTTGTACAATGTTGCTAACCTGTTTAGAGAAAAAGAATAAATATACACAAAAGTATAACTTTAGTTCAAATGACTGATTTCATAATTTAAATTTATAGTTTTTTGCTATACTTCTATTCTATTGTTCTTAAAAACACAGGAGAGAAAGACATAAAAACAAAAGCAAAAGCAAAAACTTCCCTCACTGGGCATTCTTGTATCCCAGCTACTGAGGAGGCTGCTAAAGTAGGAAGATCTCTGGTGCTCAAGGG